ACTACCGAATGAGGTGTCTTGTTTTCCCGCTCAGTCTGGGAGGGTTTGGATAGTGATTTGGAAAATCCACATTGAAAATCTGCGATCCATTTAAATCGGGAAATAAACAAAGTTTCTAACAGTTTTAGGCTTTTTTTATTACATTATGTATAAATCTAAATAAATACTTCAGGTTCTCTCAGATGTTCTTGCTTCCATTGAGGCTCAAGAGTCTCATTGGATCATTCTTAAATCACATGATCATCCAGTTGTACACAAACCTGTGGAGCTCATAGAGCTTGAATGCTGTTGCTATCAAAGCAAAAGATGGACAAAACAAACAGAGATGTTCAACTCAACCTCAGACATTTTTCAATTCAACTTTATATGCAAATAGTTTTGCTGATAATATAATTTGTAATGGAAAAGTACAAAATACAAGCATTTCGACTAGTGGACTTTTATAACAGTTTTTTCTTTTGTTTGCACCTGACTTGTTTGCTGATCTTCAAAAGTCTTGGTTATTTTTGTGGCGGCTCCTCTGGGGACCTGCTGAAGTGATGTTTTTTTCTGCTTGGGTACCTCTGTGAGATGATCTGATGCAGACCGTTGTTATTTCTCTGTCTGGCTGTCAGTTTGTGGAAGGATGTGACCGTGAACCTGAAACTGAAGTACATTGATGCTGCGACGGAAGCCAAACACAGGCTGGAGGAGAAACNGAGAGCGGAGGCCAGAGAAAGGAAGGAGAAGGAAATGCAATGGGAAACGAGAGTGAGTGTGCTTATGTACACGCACATGTGGAGGGGAAATGTGCCGTGAGAAATAATGAGATCGAAATATGACTCTGATAAATGGTCCTTAATTGGTTCCCGTTGCTTAAAAGCAGCATGTTCTTAAACTGAATGTTACCCATGATGCACATAGCTGGATGTTTAAAGTGGCCAACAGTGCCTGACAGTTTTTCAAATTCATTTTCTCCAAACATATTTCAGCTTTTATCCAAGCCAACCTACTCATGTTGAATTCAGAATATCAGAACATACATTAATTTGATGTAAAACACCTTTGACTGATCATCTTGATTGATCTCGAATGATCCGTCTTCCTTTCAGAACCATGTTTATTTAAAGAGTGATTTGTTTGTTTCCCTGCAGCTGTTTCATGAGGACGGTGAATGCTGGGTCTATGACAAGCCTCTTCTGAAGCGACTAGCATCGCAGCGGCACTGAGGCCGTTTCCAAAACAGCAGAGTCTAGAAAACAACTCTCTTGCAAACCACTTTTCTTATTCAGCCTTGGAATGACTGACGAATGAACCCTTCCAGCTTTGCATTTTGAAACTTTGAACGAATGATAAGAAGAAAACACAAACTTAATCTATACAAACAATAAAAACCTCCCTGCTCACTAGTTCAACACTTCCACCTCTCTATCACACTTTGAGGAAGGAAACACCACAAACACACCGAAGACGTGATCAGAAGCCCTTCAGCATCACAAATCAAACAAGCGCTCTCGTCTCGGCAAAAGAAGAACGATCCCAGTGGACGCCTCTCTCTCTTTCTCCCACTCCAGAGGGGTTGAGGTGTTTTTATCGAACAAAACTACAGCGTTCTGTATCTCAGGGAAGCAGCGCACTGAGGATTGAAGGCTGTATCTTAATGTTCGAAAAGCCTTAACGGTGGAACCACAAAAGAAAATGAGAACTTGGGTTCACATACTGCTAGCTACAGCTATTTATATATATAGAAGATATGATATATTCTTGTTTTCCTTTTATCTTCTTTCTCTAGGGCAATAGTAACTGTTTGAATATACGTACTTGACGGCAGCCATTCCCTTTATGTTCCACTCCATCATCAGCCTTTAATGCTACAAAAGCCACAATAAGAAAATTTACAATTTACATTGCGGGGCTGAAATTTGAGACAACTTTGCCATGGTGGTTGTAATCCATTCCAATTCTGTTTTGTTTAGTTTTTTTGGGAATGATTTGATATGCTCTAAAGCCTCGGGGAGGCTGTTTTTTTAATAGAATGCTGCTTGAGTGTCCACATAATTTATCAACTTGGTATAAAGTTGGACTGTCCAGTAGGAAATCGTAACGGTGCACAATAAAACCATTTGCCAAGTCTGTGCTTATCCCGCTGAGGGCATGCAACGTTCTCACAAATTGCCCTGAAATCTCTCTTTCTGTGAAATGTCACATTTTAATCCAAATAAATATACATTTCATATAGTCATGCATCAGAAAGATTTGATTCTCTTCTTGAAGGTAAAAGTAACAGTCTGTACATGCATGGAGTCGCTCAGGTCAGTGTTTTCACCTGGAATGACATCTATACATTGTGTAACATCAACAAGCAAAATCAAATTGTATTATCCTTTTTTTTCTGAGATGCAATTAGAGCAAAACTGGCAAAACATTATTACTGCTATAGCTTAAAGAAAGCCACTTGCTCTTCATATACTGTAATGAATTGGAGGCCTTATGAAGTAAAGTTTACTTTCGCCTAGTATTGCTTTTCAGAAGCAAACCCAAACAATTTTTTCTTTGCCTGTCAACAATTGATTGTACCAGATTTCCATGTATCAAAATATAATATTAAATCTCAGTGAGACCAATTTGTGTGAGATGGTTGAATGCATTTCTTGTTACAGACATCCAGAGTTAAACGATGCTGTTGTTCACTTCATTTGAACTACAGGGATTTGCTGCATTTTAATTTCCAAAGTAATGGGAATTAATTAACTTCTAAAGTCACAGTTAAGGTGTATTTTTTTCTAGTTATGTTCTGCTTTATCTAGTAACTAGAAATTAAATCTAGTAAGTGTTTAAAAAATCTTATTCAGAAATGACAAATTACTGGAAAAATCATTCTTTGGTCAAATGTGTGGGAAACCTTCAAGTGATATATAGAAAGTATACCAATTAAGAGTTATTTCACATTAAAACCCGTTTAATCCCAAATTTTTCCCAGACATGAAAATATNAATATCCAAATGATGTGTCATTAGTAACCCTTTGAAATAATAATTCTTTTTAGAATTTTTTTTGGAAAAGTGTGAAAAATTGTGTTTTATGGTCGGTCACAATTGTGACCGGTGGGATAAGGTGAGTACTGAATTAACATATTTCTGCAGTCATAACATTTTTTATATATCTTAGCCCAGCTATTTTAAACAGTTTGATCACATTCTAGGGTTATTATTATTATGCATAAAAAAAACTTTATGCAACATTGATAAAACTAAAGAATTCAACCATCAAGGCATTTCAAAATTGTTACTTTTTTCTCAAATACAGCATCACATTTTTATATTAGTGCTACCAGTATTCATATATTAGTGCTACCAACATCAATATTGTAAATTTTTTGTAACATTTGAGACCCTTTGTTTTTTCCATATTTGCATGAAGTGCACTAAAACATCAGTCGGTAAGGTTTTTAGAGCTTTATAAATGAAAACCTTTTTTTACG